TATGTATATATATGTATGAGGGAGTGCACCATAAATCTCACAGAGTATTGGGATTGACGGCCGGAGGGGGAAGCCTTCTGAGACGCAGACTGAAAATAATACATGCACACATCCTTTGAACGGTGTTGCCGCGGGAGATCAGACGACGGGGGTGAAGGGCAGCATGTTGAGGAGTCATTCATGTGTTGCGGATTCAAGCGCAGCTCGTTCTTTTTTTGTTTGTTTGTGTTTCAATTCACGCAGATGACCGGCGTCTCCTTCTACTACATGCGAGATTAGGTAGGTGCTGTGCACATATGGGGGCATGGGTAAATGAAAGTAAAAACACACACTCAGACACACGTTAACAACAACAACAGCAGCAAAAAAACAACGACGGGGAGGAAAACGCGAAAACGCACAAGAAAAAAAATAATATAATGATACTGCTACAATGGGAAAGGCAAAAAAAGAAGACTGTAAAACAAACGTTATTGCTTTGGTGCCTGAGCCTACACGCTGCTGTTGCGGCTGGGGATAGTGATGCTCACCTGTCTCTGTCCTCCTCCTCCTCTTCAACTCGTTTTGTCTTTTTTCGTTCTCTTGACTGGGGTGTGGGGGCACCAGAGGTATTGAAAAGAGTGAGTGAGCGAAAGGAGTATATCCTTGAGATAATCAGCGACAGTTCAAAGAAACAACAACAACAACAAACAGGTAGAAGGCCAGCCTCCCAGGTGCACTACACACACGTACACACAAAGTCAGAGCGAGACACAGTGAGGCACAATACATCCATTAACACCAACATCATCACTGATCATGAGCGCACGTGAAGAGATGGCTCAGGAGGAGGCTTGCTACCCTAAAGAGATAGAAGCTCCGCAGCGCACCGAAACCCAGCCGCTCGAAACCGCTGAGCCCGCTGTTGAAGCAGCAGTGACGGCGGAGACTGCCGACGCCAACGAGAATGCTGAGGCGCAGGACGCCGAGGAACGACTCGCGCAGGCACGTGCAAAGGCGGCCGCGGCAAAGGTGGCTGCCGAGCAACGTCGCGCCTCGCGTAGGTCCATGGACTCCGCCTCCGCACTCAGCGATGCCGACCGACAGCAGTCGGCCGCCGCCCGTCGTGGCTCCATTCGCTCTGTTCTCCAAGCCATTGAGGAAGCGGAGAAGGAGCTTAAGGAGCTCGACACACGGGAGCAGAATATGGATGAGAGACTCCAGCTTTACAGCGATGTGATTGGCCTGCGCAAGGAGCTGCAGGTTGTCAGGGAAGACGCAGAACGCGCGAGCACCCAGCTTCAGATGGCCGATGACCTTGTAGCGAACCAAGACCCCACTGTTGAGCGCGATGTTGCCCTTCTCGAGGAGGAGGCGCAGCGGTCGACGGTTCAACAGGTGTGGACGAGCGAGTGCCAGCGTAGCCCCGGTGCGAATACGGACGACGACACCACCTCATGGCTTAAGGTGAGTGTTGAGAACGTACCGGAGCGCCTGCGGGTGGCGACGGAGAAGTTCCGCGCCGCCGACAAGAAGGCGGCGGAGCTGTACAGCAGCCAGGAGAAGCACATCAACACCAACACCGATGACCGCGACAAGACAAAGCAGAAGATGCGCGAGAGCGTTCAGGTGGAGTTGAAGCAGCTTGCCGAGACCCGGGCGCGGCTGAAGCAGGTCGACAACGAGCAGTGGCACCATATCCGCCGTGGGACGCACGTGAAGGAGCGGCAGGTGGCGCGGNGACCCGGGCGCGGCTGAAGCAGGTCGACAACGAGCAGTGGCACCATATCCGCCGTGGGACGCACGTGAAGGAGCGGCAGGTGCCGCGGCAGCGGCGCCAGGACGCGGTTAGCCAACGCGTGTACGTGGATGAGTCAAAGGCGTTCGGCGCGATGGCTGCGCTGGAGACGGAGCGGCGGGAGCTGACAGAGGACGTGAAGCAGAGCAAGCGCGCGCTCGAGGACCACATGCGCAGCAGCGAGGAGGTGAAGCGTGAGCTGAAGGAGCAGCTGCGCGTGGCCGAAGAGAACGGCAAGGAGGCGTGTGAGCTGCGCGAGTTCTTCGAGCACGAGAGTGGCGACCTGAAGGCGCTCAAGCTCGACCTGCAGCGCGTGCTGCAGTACGTGCGGGTGCGCAACCGCGAGGTCACGGACTAGGCCGCCCAGGGGCCCTCGGCCGGTCAATGAATGTAGGACAACGCACACGCCCAAGCACGCAAGACACAGGCAGGTGGTCGGGGGGTTTGGGGGGCGCCGGCGCCGGCGAACGAGGCCCCCATCCCCCCCCACAAAGCGAGCAAATCACGCAAACGAGAAACAAAACAAAACCAAAACAAAAGAGAGAGAGAGAGAGAGAGGAACACGGGAATAACGAAATGAAAAGGAAGAAGAAGAGAAAAAAACAACAAGGAGGATTTAGTAAGCGTGAGAGAAGACACGCGAGGAACCGAAAAATAAAAAA